AGTTCCTAACTCCCTACACTTTGACAAAGGCACCAAATTATTGTGCTGCCACAAACATGCATCACTGCAGGGAGATGTACGGCCAGTATAGTTGCCAGAATGTTCGGCAGCTCCTCGTTGCTTTCGGCCTCTTGGCAAACTCCCTGCCCAAATTTCTTCTCGTCTTTTCATACATTTTTTTTAGGGACATTCAGTTCTTGATAACATCACTATTGAGCCATATTTCCACCAAATCGATGATGACTGTTTTTCACTGTGTTCCTTGGGATATTTAATGCCTTGGAAATGCTTTTGAGCCCTTCTCCTGATTGACAATGACATCCCTCTGATGCCGTGGGAGACCACGGAAATGACAAGAAAAGCCTACAAGACCAGCTGAACATCATCTGGGATTAATGAGATATTTTAAATGGGAGCGCATGTGTTCCTACTCCAGTTTGATATTGGAGTGAATGTGATTGGTTCATTCCGAACACGGCAACGTCCCCCAGTTTGAAGAGGCTGTGCACACTTGTGCAACCACATTCTTTCATTTCTTTAGATTTACGTTTGTTTGGTTTTTTTTCTCTCTTTTCAATGGAGTTTGACAGGTGAGAGGTCACACCAGTAGTGGCAAAAAAAAGAAATCATCTATTTTGGTATTTGAGGAGGGGTGTGTAGACTTTTTTTTAAATCTCTTGTATGATCTGATAAATGTTGGATTATTTTATGAAAACGGGCCTGTAAATCAAATTTACTGTCACTTACACTTCTGTGTAAAAAAAAAAAGAAAAATGCCTGAGATTATGCATATTTCAGTCGAGTGCTAATTTCTCGCCTCATACTAATGATTTAGTAGTGTCACCATTTTTTGGGGGGGAGGGGGGACTTGGTTGTGGCCTATTAAAGTTGGAATTTAGGTCACACTGAGAAGGAAAATGGGACAGGAACACCCAAGTAATAGTTTACCTCTTAATCTCTTTCATAGGAAAACCATCCGTATCCAATATCCCGTTGTTCTTTCTGTTGGGGGGAAATTGTGTCCGGTGCGAGGAATCATAAAAGCCACATCCACGGGCAGGTGACCAACATTTATTTACCATTATCAACTTTACAATAAAACCAGTAACATCTGTCAACATTAGCAAAATAAAGAACAGAAATCAATCCAATTGTATTTACAGAGACAAAAGCAGATTCAGGCTCACACACGACAGATAAACAACCCTGCCTCATATCAAACCGCAACAGTGAACATAGCAAGCTGAAGTGTTCTTTTTTTTTTTTCATAGTAAGGTAAAAATCAAAACTTGTCTATAGTTTTTTTTTGTTATTTTTTTTAACAAACAAGACATAGCTTCTTTTAAGATGGTTCTCTATAATACACCACAAAATACTTCAAATTTGGGTTAAAATATAGGAATGTAAAAAGTTGCCGAGTCTCTTTTCTGATTTATCTCGTTTTCTGTTTTTTTTTGTTTTTTTTTTTAGCTATTTAACAGTCATTTCAAGTGGTGTTGTCCTAGTTGTTCCTTTTCTAGCTTCTTTATCTTCACAAAGGAGGCATCTTGAGCCGCTGTTTCTTTTTTTTTTTTTTTTTTTTTTTCAAGGTGGGGAAGGGGGCGGCAATTTTTCATCAGTGCAACTGACAGTTTTTTTGTTTTGTTTTTTTAATTCATCAAGGGGGCACTTATACCTCTTTCAAAAGTCAGTATGTAACGCATGACCAAACCATATGTTTGGTAGAGGAAAGCGAGCGGACGCGATGGAGTGGATTGATGATTAAACAAAGTAAATGAGGCCAGAGGTGCGGAGAAGTACCCGTCCCCGGTTTGTCTGTGCCGACTCCCTTGCTCTCATCTTCTGGAGCCAAAAGCTCATCAAGCAGCATCTGAACTCTCGTGACCATCGTAGAGACCACATCTTTCTTCAGAATCTATAGAAAGATTGAATATTTCATGACAAAAGGGAGACAATTTGCAGTTGGAAAAGAAAGGTCTACCTTCTCAGCCAGTTTGGCCTTTGGTTTGTTGTTGTGTACGTAAGCTCGACTGTGGATGGCTCCTCTGACAGACAAGGCGCCTCCACACCGCTGGACCACGTCTCTTAAAGTGTCCTGTTGTGCCTGCCATGCATCAAGAAAATGCCTTGACATCTGCCAAACTGTCACATGTTCTTCAAGACCAAGTAGGGGACAATGTCAGGAGAAGGGGACAACTTTTCAATCTTGCCATAGTAATTGCATACGTTGGTGTGAAAACAGCGTGTTTGTATCTTACCGGTGTGACGAGCAGCTGAGCGGTGAGCACCTGTCTCACATTCCTCTTCTGCAAAATGTTGATCAGACGTAAGACTTTAGAATACATGCTTTAAAAACAGGCCTGTCCTTGTACGTGTGTCTTGCTAAGGCTGAGAATCGATTCAAATTTCTGAAAATTGACTCACTTTACAAGGGACGATTCGATTCGAGTTACGATTCACTTTGATTGCTTTTTGATGCAGTTGAGGATTTCATGTGGTACCAATTTTATTATTTCTACTACTTCTACGATGGCACAAATGCCCCATTACACCCAATTCTACTGGCGCAGAGTCTTGCAAAATACCAAAAGAAAGAAAACTCCACCCATGCGCACAATTACACTGTGCTTGGCGCTAAACTTGCGCTCGGGGCGAAAAAAGTCCCCCTTTCCGTTCATGTTTACATAACCTGTCCTGCTGTGAGTTCTGCATCATCGGGCAGCTGGATACCATCAATCAAACAGACTGCATTCTCAATCTGGTACGTCCACACTTTCAGTCCCTCCTGAAACGTGGGAGGCACGTTGAATAAATCCATACACATTCTGGAAGACTGATTTCATGTCAGTACACATACTTTAAGACACTCATCCATGCTCTTTGTACAGGCTTTGTTGTCTGGTAGCGGAACAAGTAAGTCCACCTTCACACAACAACTCATTGTGGACCAGGAGGAACATACGGCTGCTTGATACTTCCAATCAGCAGGCTTGGCCAACAAGGTGGGGAAAAGATGTGTCCTCCGTCAACCTTTCATCCGCTTGGTGATGTCGTCTCGCCGCCGCGCCGAAAGCCTAAAAAGTCAGTCAAGGTCCAGATGTCGAGCAGGAAGTGACCAAGTGAATCTCGTCTGTCGTCTTGACGAAAAGTGGCACGTCAAAGGAGTCTTTCACATACATGTGTATATATTTACATATACATATATCCATATACATATGTATACATATACACATATATATATAAATATATATATATTTTTTCTTAAATTCTTTCTCTCTCTTTCTTGGAAAAACAGTTCAGCCAGTTCATTGTGAGTTGCACATACAATCACTCCTTCTTTTCAGAGGGGGCGGGGGTCGAGCTGCTCTCCTCTGTGGGTTTCGAGGCCTCAGGGGCTGGAGCAGCTGCCTCCTTGGCCTCCTCCTTGGGGGCGTCCTCTTTGGCAGCCCCCTCCTCCGCTTTCGGGGCCTCGGCCAGGGCCTCCTCCTTCACCTCCTCCTTCTTCTCCTCCGCGGCGGCGGCGGTCGCTCCGTTTTCGGCGGGTTTCTCCTCAGAGGAGGAGGCGGCGGCGGCGGCGGCGGCCGCCGCTGGCTCCTCCTTGACCGCCTCGTTCTTCTTGCTCTTCTTCAGGTTCAGCTTGAAGTTGAAGGACTTTTTCAGTGAGAACTTCTTCTTCTTCTTCTTTGGGGTCTCCTTGGTCGCAGCATCGGTGGCGGCAGCAGCTGCGGCCTCGCCTTCGGGTTTGGCCGCCTCGCCATCGGCGGCGGCGGCGGCGGCGGGGGCGGGCTCGATGGCGTCGCCCTCCGCGCTGGCTTCGGGCTCCTTGGCGGCCTCGGCCGAGCCATTGGTCGCGGCAGCGTCCCCGTCGGGCTTTGTGGAGACGTCACCATTGGTCTTAACGTGTCCGTTCTCCTGCAAAAGAAAAATATTTCATGAATCATCTCTTTGTGAAAAATAAATGACTAATCCAAAATTGACAACCTCGGGTAAAAAACAAAAAACCCGCCATATGTGGTCACATTCCAATCACTTTTGATCATAATTTCTCATTATTTGGCAGGGCATCGTCGTGCTCATCAATTAGCGTCGTCTGGCTGAGGCGACGCCTTGCAGCTCCGCGGTGAGCTGATAGGCGGCGGTAGAGCCACGCTGACGGCTCGGGGTACCAGACAGCCCCAACAAAGACGCAACTGGAGAGACAAGCCTTCACTTGTGGGTGACTATCGTGAAAACCCCACAAATGAACATCCATTTTTTTTTTTTATTATTAGTGATGGCACAGCGTAAGATTAAATCCAAAATAGCTGTTAAATCCCCTCAATAACCGGTCGATTAATACCGAATGTGAAAGGTGCAATTGGTACAATGGAGACAGCGGTCTTACTTAAAACAAGGGGTGCCGACGTGCGCGCAAGACGCCCCCTCCCCCTCTTTCTCTTTTGCACCTTTTAGATGAAACGTGCCCCAAATGCACTTTTTTACGACTCCATCTTGAGATTCGTTGTCGATGAGCGAGGATGCTGAAAGCCACACCTGACTCCCCCTCAGAAAAAAAATCAAATAAAATAAAATCCTGCTCGGTTTCGCGCCTCTAGGTCAACTTTGAAGCGAGTTCACATGTGTAAAAACCAATGTGGAGCTTTGAATTACCTGGCCGTTGGTTTTGACAGCCGCAGCATCAGCGGCGGCGGCGTTCGCCTCCACGGCCACCTCTCCCTTGGATGACTGAGATCCCATTGTCTTCTTTGTCTGCCTCTTTCCAAAGCAAATGAAAAAGAAAAACGAAAAAAGAGTGGCCCGAAGTTAATCCAACCCCAGGTCGAGTGGCGTATCCAGCGGTGAAACGGCGAAAAGTGTAATTTGGGGGCGAATGGTGATGATTTTCTGACGATTCCAAGTCCGTCTCGCTCGTACTCGTCACTCCGGCGCAGAGAGAGCCTCTAAACTCATCGGCGCTTGAACGCAACGCTTCAACATACAACAGGTTCGGGGCGACACCCGGTGGGCGGGGTTTGTGGTAGCTTCAACCAATCGACGCCCTGTCTGGAGGAAAATCGACAAAGGCTTTGGCCAATCACCGCCCGCTGCCTGGCATTGGGACCCCAGCGGTGAATTAAATCAACTCAACTCATTTCTCTATCGTTCTATATTCAAGTTAAAGGCAGAAAATCCATGCAGAAAAGTTCTTCGGTCATACAGCTACAATTACATTTTATTTACCCTCAAATCTGTTCGTAGGGGGTTTTGTAATAAACTCAGAGTGGAAAAAGTACCGGCAAAGATACAAATTCTGCCCTGTAAGAAACACAACTTGTATTTCATTTCAGAAAAAAAAACCCCTTTGGGCTAAAACACGTAACCTTTAAATGACTTCGACACATGACTTTGGTGAGTCACGAAGGACTTTTCTTACTTAATTACACACACATGCGCGCGCACACATGCGCCACCGTTTGCAGTTTCACTCTGACTCATCCTCAAAGAAGAAGGGGATTCTTTCTGTTGCGCCACTTTCGTTTTTTACTTTTGTCAAACATTGACGATGATGCTGATGCACACACACTTACACACTTGTCACAACATTAGCCACTCCTTATTTTTGCGGCTCTCCTCTGCAACGAAAAAAAGGCCGACGTTGACAGACTAATATACACACACAACCGGCCAAATCCAAATAGGTTGTCCACCAATGTGCCGACTGTTGCATGCTTTGTCAGATGCTTTCTCTTAATTTTGTGTGCTGTGTTGAAACGTCCAACTGCAATTTCAAAGCCATTTCTGATGGCATGCATGATTATTGTAATACATGACACCACACGTCGCCGGAAGTCAGATGCATGACGTACTTGCAATGAATGAGGTGGTTTTTTTTTCGGGATTTGTGCTGCTTGCACTGCAGTCATAGCATCGCAACAGCGAATCGTCCTATCGAACAATGGTGAATGGCAAATCAATCGATTGTATTCTCTTGTTCAATGTCGACCTATATTTTTCGGGTTCGAGAACAAGATGAGCATTTGGACGACCGGTTTATCACGTTGCGTCCTCATGGCTGCATGACTAGATTCGTTGTTCATTTCTGCTGGTCAACAACATACCAGAAACACAAAAAAAAAAAAAAAAAAAAAACAAGTCAATGGGATGATCATGCACATTCCACCTGATCGTTTTCTCCCATGCACATTTCTCGCAACGGCTGTTAAAGCTGCAAATCTCAATTAAGGGAAGAAAAGAGTCTCAGTGTTCGATGTGACAAATTGATCTTGGCTGCATCCAATCAGTCAAATTGATTTTGCAAGACTTGGGAACATCGGGAACACATGCTGGCTGCCCGAATCTCCCGAATGACTTGTGGGTTAAGGCCCGACATGTTGATGTGCTTGTGCCAATCATTGTAAGGACAATAAAGATGAAATTGAGGAGCGTAACGGAAAGACAGAAGTCTTAACAAGAACCTCTACCGCAACCAAACGGTGTGCATCAGATTAATGGCGCAAAGAGGATGCCGTCTTTCTGCCCTTTACTGTTCCATTTGTCTGCAGAAATGTTCATCAGGAAGGAATCTCTAGATACTGGCATGAAAAAAGTGGGTAGATCTTGGGAAATGTGCGAGATGTGCCGACGACAGGGCCGTAATCAACAACACAAAACAAGGGACGAGGAAGATGAGGTGAAATGGGAATGGAAATAAAATGCTTTCGAAAACACAAGCAGAGAGCCGTTGAACATCACATTAGGAAATGAGATGCCTGGAAAAAAAAATGGAGCACTTTGAGCATGTAGCAAGCAGATGGAGGATTCTTGACAGAATTTAGAATTTGGATGGCAATGGGCCAATCTGCGTCATTGGACAAAGATGCGAAGGATGACATTGGAATGAGGTGAACGAATCAAAGGATATTGCAGGAAGTGGCAGAGGAAGGAGAACTTCTGAAACGGAAAAAGGACTAATAGAGGACCTGCCCATTAAGGCAGAGCACTAATGAAGTAAGAAAAAATACGAGCAGCTTCCGCAACTTGTTTTGTTGCATGTGGTTAATAGTCGTTGAATGGGCTCATAACACCCACAAAGTGACCAAGCCATCAATTGGTTCTCCATATTGTTTGTCCAATTGGGTTTAGACACTTTTACAGTGCAATTCAATGGTGTTTGGAAAAACCTTTCTGGGAAAATAAAGCCAGTTAATGTGACCCGTGACACCTCCACATCCAGAAATCATTGCAGGGCTATTCCATGCCATAACAACGAGGCACTCTAAAGCCATTTCAAAGCCCATGTCCACACGCAGGCTGTCATGTCAGACACCTTGCCGTTCCACCTTTTTTCCGTGGCGTTCACGCACTCATGGCCATCAATGAGGCACTCTAAAGTGGCCATGCCAATGGATTATCAGATGGAAAAATGCATTTTTGGGGTGGATGCATAGCTAGCTAGCAACCTGAATGCCCACCACACCCCATCAAGTGCTGATTCGTAAGAAGGCGCTCAAGCTCTTGTGTAGCGGGGGAGCGACATCTCATGCTGGACTACATGATACACACGTGTATCAAGAAGCAAATCTGTGAATTCACTCCACAGGATCGTCAGATCAAGAGTCCGGTGGTGAGAGGATGCATCTTTCTCACCCGTTTTGCATGTTTCATAAGTGTTGCTGTGAGTCAAGATGAACTAATTCCACAGCTGCCCCCACAACCTTGACCAAGTGGTGTCGCCATGACAACACAAGGAACCAGATCTTCAGGAAGAATAACTTATTCGAGCGTTGCGGTCAGGCCAATCTGGAGTCCTACCCGAGAGTTCTATGTCAACCCTCGCTGTCCTTTTCCAGACCACCGCGGGCTCCTTGACGTGCTACTCTGCTTCTCGCATCGCAGTCACACCCAGGGGACGACCTTTTCTCACGCACATATCACGCTGTATCGGTCTGGTTGGCCTTTTCCGTGTCATCATAATGTCTCCACTGTGTGCTGTGGAATGCCCAGCACGCAGGCGCTCGGGTCTCCTCGAGCCGTCTTCTCCTGTGAATGGGCTTCTTCAGCTCGCCTGAGGTAACATCATGCTTAACTTTGGCAGGGGGAGAAACATCAAGCGCTCCTTTCTTCTCCTTCTTTGAAAAAAAACACAAACAAAAAGACATGCGCTTCGTGGTGGTGATGACGACTACGTCGTGACGAGGCCGGCCATCCTCTTGCTGTGCGCTTGCGTGTGCATTTGCACATGTGCGTCTGTGTGCTATGGGCATATAAGGGAAGCATTGTCATGGGACGACCGTGGAGTGTCGAGAGAGGAGAAGGGGGGCGGGGGTATGGCACAAAGAGAAATCCTTCACACATGGATCACACATAATGCACACACACATACATACAAAGCAAGGAGGGCATCAGCTGTGACAGAGTTCAGAGAGTCGGACTGAAGGGCGGAAGAAATACGGAGTCGGGGGTTGGGTGATGGAGCCCAGAAGACCGTAGATGGAAAGAATGAGGTGCTGGAGAAGAAAAAGAAAACACTTATGATGCTTCATGCTGACTCCCGAGTGGCAATGAGCGAATGGTGCAAAGAGATGCGATCAGTTAACCGCAAACTCACACTTACTAAAAGTGTTGGTATGCTCATATGAAAAAAAACAAAAAAAAAAAACAAATGGTGTGACAATGACAGGAAGTTGTTTTTTTTTCCTTCCACAACATCCTCCTCATGCCGTTTTTGGTGTTCACCACCTTTACTTTGAACCGGTGAAGTGTGTCATGAGACGGTGCTGCCCACTGTTTGATTGGTCGACAATATTCTCACGTGCGATGTACGCCATGATAACCCCGCCCCCTGGCGTAGTTGATGTCAGAGTCTGGCCCAACAAATAATTGGGGCCCGCTTAAGCACCGGAGCGAGAGCTGGAGCCAGTGTCGGTGGTGAAAAAAAAAAAATAACCAGTGCTAACCTGGGGACTGGCCCGGGACTAGCGATAGCACAAGCGCGGCGGAAAAGGACCAACAGTCAGAGCTTGAATCCAAGTGTCAGATGAGTTTTGCAATTTCAGGTGCCCACTTCTTACTTGAATGACTCAATTTGAGTCCACAGGATCCTCCTCTGACATCTAATTGAACTCATCAGTCTGTTACTTTCTCCATCGCTTGTTGACACCTCGTTACACCGTGTTCCACCTCGGGTTCTCCTCCAAATTGTCCGTGACCTTTCACCCCGTCTTCCCCCACTTTGCTTTGATCGCAAGCTGGATGTTTTCAGCCCGGGGCTTGTCCCGCAACCAGGAATGCCTTCGTTTTGGTCAAGAAATGCTGGAGCCTGTCTCTACCTGTGCCCTGCGTTTGATGCCGTGACCTCCATAAATCATTTTCACATCAAGACGATGTCATACTTTTGACGTTCTTAGCCTCTCCTTGCGGGGGGAGCTGTCAATGAGCCTTTGTGTGCATATTCACGGATGTCTGGATTGCATACTACGGGTGAACTCAGTCTCCCAAAGGGGCCCATTGTTCTGCGCCTCATCTCGCTATGGATGAGCATCACAACTGGGGCGGGTAGGGGGGGGGTGGCCCAAGAAAGGGAAGCGAAGACGAAGAGCCACTGAGGAGACAAAGGATTATGGGTATTCAAATAAAAACTAAGCGAGAAGGGGGCCTGTAGATGCCGTCATCCTCAAGAAAGCAGGAATGTCATGATCAGAGGATGAAGTTCATTATTTTAGTAGGGGGGGGGGCAGTTCTGGCCCAGTTTTTGGCCCAGGTTCTAAACCGAATTTTAACCAAAGCCACACATGCTGTGGTCAATCTCGGCAATAGATCCCATATGGCTTCACGGCGGACTTGACAGATGTCAGCGGTGGACAGAAGCAGGAAAAATAATCACGACTACGGCGCTCTGATCTGCCCCGGCGGCCTGGGGTCAAGAGGTCAGGGAGTTTGTGGTGAACAACAAAAGCAGGAAGCGCAAAAGTGCGATGTTTTAG